CAACAGTCGCTCGAGAAAAACCGAAGTACAATGAACAATTCACGGGGTCCTCCACGACCGGCTGGGGCTGGGATGTCTTTCGCACCTGAAAAAGGAGAAGACAGCTGCACCACTGCAAACAATAAAGCATCACAGTTCACAGCCTTTGCTGGTGGCTCCTGTGGTTCGGCCTCGGAACAGGCCGATGTGAAGGAAATGCCCATCATGGTTCTATGCGCCCAGCCGGCTCCTCCCAGAATTGCTGGTCGCCGCCCTCGTAGAGGTTGATCTCCTGCAACAAAATTCAAGAAAACACTCGGGTTCAAGATGGCAGGCTCAGGTCTCGGCCTCGTCAGCCAAGAGCTTGAGATCGGAGTCCACGTAGTCATTCTGCTCGAATGACCAGAACTTCCATCCTGTGTCGGGGCGGGGCTGGTCAGAAGCTTTAGAAAGCTTATACCTCCCTTTGTATGCCTCCACGAGGCGGCTGCATCGACTTCACATCTGAAGTCAACACAGCCTGACCAAAGTCGTCAGAGTCCACCACCCATGCCCCGGCTCGCGACCAGCGAAGCCGCACTCCGTGGAAGTTCGTGAACCTGCAGGAGGCTATAACAACATGCAGGCGAATCCTGGAGAGCCGGTCGCGAGCCTTCCTTTGTGCTTCTTGTCCCTCTCGAAGGGCTTGGCCAGCAGCAGCTTGCTGTAGAGCCCGTCCTCCTGTTGAAAGGGTCAAGCTTATATATCTATATATCAGCATGCACCCTCCATCCCTTCATCTGGCCTCATCGGACTTGAAAGCACGAAAGCCGAAGAGCAAAACGCCCGGCATTGCAAAAATCTACCTCTCGACCCTCAACCCCTGCTTGGCTAGGTGCCTGATATGAAGTGCTCATGCTGGCTAAGTGCCTGACATGAAGTGCGAGATGAAGTGCATGCTCATGCATGGCTAAGTGCCTGACATGCATGAAGTGCCACATGAAGTGCATGCTCATGCATGATATATATATATATATATATATCTGGCATGCACATGCCATGCATGGGGCATGCTGTCATGCGAGGCCTGCCGAGCCTTTCACCGTGCACATGCGTGTCATGCCGACAACAAGCACAGGCAGCACACACACACACAGCCACAAAAGCACTTCAACTGGCATCGCTTCTCAGGGTGTCTCTGTCTCTCTCTGTCTCTCTCTTTCTCTCTCTTTCTCTCTCTCTCTCTCTCTCTCTCTCTCTCTCTCTCTCTCCCTCTCTCTCCCTCTCCCGCCCTATATATATATCTCTCTCTCTCTCTCAGCGTCGCACAGAAGTGTCAAACTCCTTGGACGAGCGGGGGGCTCTTGCCCCGAGTTGGCTGCTGTGAGCACTTACCGTCGGCCTGCACTCCCGCGCTGTGTTCTAAACACAGCCTGTACGAGCACAGCCTCAAAAACACCAAAGCCCCAGCCGAGCACGAAGCTCAACAGCCAGAAGCCCGGTGTACGAGGACCTACCGTCTTTCTTGGTGTCAAAACTATGCGCGATATTCACGCGTGTTTCTGCTTTCAAGCACTTTCCGCCAATGCATCTAGCAAGGCTTGCATCTCCCGTTCATTGCCCGATCTTGGTGCCACTCCCCGCTTGAGTTGAGCACCATGTCGCTGCAGACCTTTAACGACCACCTCAAGGATGTCTTCAACTTGATTGTGGACACATAAGGTCAATCGCATACGCTTCGGATCATAGCACTTGCGACATTTGGTCACCATGATAAGGGGCTCAAGCGTCTTCACACTGTCAGCAGAAAGCAGATGTGCCGTCAACTTTTGCTTCTCGTCTGCACCCAATTGGCTGGACTTCGACACTTCATGCACCATGGCGGCCCATGCATGGACATGCGGCTCTCCGAGCGCTTCGCACTTCAAGGACTCGGCTCGATAGCAAAGGGGCTCCTATATATATATATATATATACATATACATATGTATTTCTCTCTCTCTCTCCCTCCCTCCCTCCCTCCCTCCCTCTCCTTCTCTAAACCCTTCTCTCTCCCTCTGTCTCTCGCTCTCCCTCTCCAAAATTTTGTCTTTGTCGCCGTGGAAACTGAAGCTGGACATACATCTTCACAGATCGTGCTGTGCTGCAAAACTCGCCCCTGGTGGGAATCCTCTTGGTAAGGATGCCGGCATGTGCACTCGATCACTCATCATCAGAAGCTTCCTCAGATTCGTCTGAAGCAGCAGCCCTCTTGACACCCTTGTTCTTGGAACCCTTGCTCTTGTGCTTCCTCTCTTTGACACGAGAGGACTGCACGTTGTCAAAGAACCATTGCAGGTTCTCGCATGTGCCTTCCAACCAGAGCACCTGGGAACCCAGGCCTCGCAAAAGCATGCGAAGCTTGTACTCCCTGCAGCTCACCTCCACCGTCTCGGGAAGGAGGATCATGCTTTTGCTCGTTGCACGTTGAAGCTTGGCTTTCTTCTTGGGGGGACCTCCCTCGTGCTCGACAGTCTTTGCTTTCGTGAGAAGATCATTCGCGGCTTCCTGGCGAGCCTTCACCAGATCCTGCCACAGGTCGCAGTCCAGACTGCCGCTGGAGGAACGTTTCTCCTTGGCAAGATAGAGCTTCTTGCCTGTCATCAGGTAGACAAGATCCGAGTCCCATTTGGAAAATTTGATGTATGTCTTGCCGTCCACGGTTACCTCTTCGGTCGGGACCCATGCCTGCTCGCCCTTCAACACCCGCAACTGCCGATGCACACTGAAGGCCATGGCAACCTATCGTCGAAGCCTATATATGCGAGCTGATGCTGTTGGACAAAAGCTGACATGCAACACACCCTCAGGCTTGCATGCTCAATTGATGTGCCTGGGGCATGCGAGCTCATGAGCCCTGCAACTGCCCATATGTCATGCACATCACACTTGGATCCTTTCTTTCCTGCACAGCACACATCGCTCATGGAAGTCGCCATGTATATAAACTCTGGCACGACATGCCAAAGGCCAATATGAAGCACACTTCACATATATGGAAGCCGTCTAGATGGCGAAATCTCGACACACAAAATGCGAAAGCCTTTCAGAGCACACTTGGCATATGCAAGTCACCTCCATCCTTGTTTATAAAGTTTGTACACAATGAAGTGAATCTCCTTGGCCGTCGTCTGGATTGCCCGGAAAAGCGCCATCATCGGCTTTGGGAATGTGGTTGGAGCTGCAGGTGCAAAAGCTTCGGGTGTCGGCACTCTTTCCGATCGAGGAGATCATGCCCGAGTGCACGGCAAGCTGCCCGCATCACTTCACGCGTGCGTGTCGATGTTTTATAGATCCTAGGTCAAACGAAATTTTGTAAGCAACAAAATTTTGGGCCATGACAATCTTTGCGCTACTCTTAGTAGTGCTTCACAATCCAGACTTTTAACAACTTTCAATGCTGTTGCATGATTTCGTTTCTCATGTCGAGTAACGATTTTTAAACCATGCGGTTAAACGCACACTTGTTCATGATTGAATCTGCAATCATCGAAGCTGTCTCGAGATCGAGCCAGAATTTTTGATTTGAGGGCTCTCTAGAGGCTTGTAATTTCGTCTAACAGGCCTGAGCCCTCCTAACTCGGTGTTGCTCTTAGAGCACCGTGCAAGAGCCCCGCCGGGGGCTCGGATGGATCCGAGCTCGACCCTTGCGGCCGAGTCGTCTTCCAGCGACACTCAAGAGGCCATTTCGGCCCACCTGCACGCAGTTCAGCTTCAAGTTAATTCCCTTGAACAGCAGCTTGCCTTGCTGCGATCAGAACTGCAGGAAGTTCGCCAGGAGCTTGCGAATCTTGAGGCCGAAAGATACCAGCACTCCCTTCGCTTGGGGTGGCTGGAGCAACTTGTGCAGCGCGTTTCACGCGCTTTCCGCTTTCAGTGATTGTGCCTGCACTGGGGTACTTCGGGGCTGTAGTAGAATGGGGGATGATGAGAACAGCTCCCTTCCTTCGAGTTACGGGCTTCACCTGAGGTCGTGCCTGCGAGACTCGAGGTCTATTTGGAAGACCCCTTGGAACAATGCACTCGTAGCTTTTGACCCTAAGCCCCGCTTGCCGCCTCCTCTTGGACCTCTCCCCCTTGTAGTCCCTATGGACCCTTCTGCCGATCAGCCTGCCGTGCCGAACCCTCGCTTCGTCAGGTCGGAAGGGCTTGAGCAAGTGTGTGCTAAAATGGCCAAGTTCAAACATACTTCTTGGGAGGTTATGATCAATGAGGAGAGAAATCTTGCCGTGAATAAGTGGCTCAGCCTTGTCATGGTCGAGCCCTTGACCTTCGGTGTAGCTAGGAACTTCTACGCCGGAAAAGCGTCAGGGATCTCTTCAGGATCGCTTGCAGACAGCATTTCGGATTGCCTTGCTGCCAAGGCTACTTCGACGATCAATGCCAGGGCGAATTGCTTCTTGCGGTTTGTTTCTTGGGCAAAGGGGAACATGCCGTTTGTTTTTCCCTTGACCGAGCATGCTGTCTACGCATACTTCGAGGAGAAGAAATCCACAGCAGCGGCAACTTCGTTCAGGAGCCTTCTCTCTTCGGTTGCTTTCGCTCAGCATGTGGTAGGCCTGGAAGGGTGTGACAAGGTTTACACTTCGGGTCGTGTCCGCGGCCTTGCGTCGAAGCTTTACATGCAGAAGAGGAAGCTCAAGCAACGGAATCCTCTGAGGGTCTCCGATGTCATTCTTCTTGAAAGGATTTGTTGCAAGCTTGAAGACAGGTCTTTGCAGGACCGTGTCGCTGCAGGCTTCTTTCTCTTCTTGATTTATGCAAGAGCACGATACAGTGACGGGCAAAACGTGGCATCGCTGACTGTTTCGCCGCTCTACTTGGAGTGCAGTGTGGGCAGGTCCAAGACTAGTTTCACTTTGGAACGCAAGACCAGGTACTTGCCAATGGCTGCCAGGAAAGTGGGCATCAAGTGTGCATGGGCCGATGCGTGGCTTGACGCTTTGGCAGAGGCGGGTCTTGCGATCAAGCCGAACGACCCGTTGCTTCCCTGCCCTTCTTCGAATGGTTCGTGGAAGATGATCCCGCTTCCGTGCGATCAGGCTTGCTCGTGGCTCAGGAGCCTGCTAGGGAACGCTCAGAGCGATCCCTACCTTGCAAATGTGGGGACACATAGCCTTAAGAGGACTCTGCTGAGTTGGGCAAGCAAGCGTGGTCTGCCCCGTGAACAGAGGGCCCTCCTGGGGTATCACACGTCCCGAGCCTCAGGTGCGGGGTCAGAGCTGATCTATGAGTCCGACGCCCAGTCGGCTCCGCTCAGGGCTTTGTCAACTATGATCGACGAGGTGTCATCAGGGGCCTTCAAGCCCGACAAACCAAGGGGGCAGCAGCTTGCTTCCGAGCTGTCGGCGCATGCCGATCCCCCTGGCGACGAGATCGAGTCATCAGACTCGGAGGGCTCCGAGGACGAGGAGGAGATCGACCACTCGGGCGATGAAGCTTGTGTTGCCGAGGCTTTGGACTGGCATGGGAAGGTCGACCTTGGCAAGATTGATCCCTCGTGTGTTTTCTTTCGGCATCGCCAATCCAGGGTAGTGCACATCACTGCCGACGAAGCCGGTGCCAACCTAGGCTGCGGTAGGACCATTTCGGGTCAGTACAGGAAGCTGGAGGCGCGACCCGCAGTTTTGCATCCAAGGTGCAAGCAGTGCTTCAGGAGATACCTGGTTGTGCAGCAGGGCACATGACTCTGCATTCGGCTCGTGCCTGCAATTTTGTGCAAAAGGGTGATGTCGTGCACGTGCGCTCCGCAAGCCGGTCAAGTGTTGACATTTGTGCTATCGTGCAAGAGCAGCGATCTGCTGGATGTCGTGTCCTGCAAGATGAGTGATTCGGTGAAGAGCAAAGCCCTCCTGCAGCTGCTTTTAGCTCGTAGGGGGTCCAAGCATCACACCATGGCGGCCTTCTCCGAGTCGGGGCCAGTGTTCAAATCACGATGTGCCCAGGTCGGTTTGGCATCTGCAGATGTCGAAAAACTCGAGAAGGTGGGTGTGGATTCACTCGCAAAGGTCGCTTTCATGACGAGCTACACGCCGGGCTCTGGCGATGACAAGGACCTCATTGCGGCGTTCGAGTCGGCCCTCGGGACGCCGCCCTCTGTAGGGCAGAAAAGTTCCTTCCGAAGGTTATTTCATGAAGCATATGCTGTTACCACTTCGGAAATGAAGATGCTTGTGGAGCGGACGGACGAATCCATCCCAAGAAAATTGAGCGTCCCGGAGAGATCTGAGAGGTTCGAGGTAGTGAGCAAACGCCTTGTGGGCCTTTCGATCAAGAACCGTCTTGAGCCTGCCGATAGCCTCGTCGACTCCTTCGTGTCCCAGTATGAACAGGACAAGCTGCAGTTTGTCCCGTGGGAGAAGCTTGTTTCCAAAGAACAAGAGGCCTCGACAGGGGCAAAGCGAGAGCCTTTCTTCTCGCTGGACAGTACGGGCAAGCTCAGGTCGGAGACAAAAGTTGAGGTCCGTGCCGATACGAGCACGGAGCTGCTCTTGCAGCTCGCGCTTCAAAGGCGCGGCATCGCTATGGAGATGGCGAACATCCTTGACTACCATCGTCACCACATGTGGGTTGAGCGCCTTCTTGCGGCGCGCCTCGACGCACCTCCGTCGACGCACATGCAGCCCACGCTTGATCAGTGTCAGCAGGCTGACAGGAAGCTTTGGCAGCTTCTCGGAGAAGCCACTCGCTCTGGCATCCAGCTCAAAGCTGGGGTGCGTCCATTGGACGCCATCTTCGAGGACACATGGCAGTCACCAGAGGTCCTTCATTTGCTTCAGCCCATGCCTCGGGCAGCAGGCGCTTCAGTCACGCAGCAGGTGGCACCGCCGCCGAGGCCTCACGGGCCGGGCCCGTATGATCGCCCAGGCAAAGGCCGAAAGGGCACAGGGAAAGGTGCCAAGGGCACCAAAGGATCCGGGAAAGTTCCCGCCGCTCTGGCGGGCTGCAGATCATGCACCAATGCTGGTGAAAACATATGTTTTGGGTATGGACTCAAAACGTGCAGGGAAACCGTGACTCGCGGCCGATGCGTGCGTGGCCTGCACATTTGCGCATGGCCCAAGTGCGGCAAGTCGCACCCTGCATTGGACTGTCCGCTGCGTGCTGAGGCTCTAGGCCAAAAGCAAGAGTGACAGTCGGAAAGCGAGCCCTGCAGCTCGCAGCGCTCGACTCAGAGTCGGGATTGCCCAGGCTTGGCTGGGCACAGTTTTGCATCGCCGCAGGCCTCCCCTGCGCCGACAGATTCTCCTTTAGTGCATCTTGATCCGTGTCAGCAGAGTGCTAGTGTGGATACAAGAAAATTTTCTTCACTTTTGCAATTGCTTCAGAATGCTGCGTGGCCAAAGTCTGTGTTGCAACGTAAGTCTGTTTCGTCCGTGAACTCCGCGCAGTCGGGGTATTACAACTTTGGGCCCAGGGCCAGCAATCCGCAACATTTGACACATGCCACCCTTGCCATGCAGGACTTCGTATTGCGCCTGAACTCAGTTTTCAAGGAGCTTCTGCCTCAAGCTTCCTGGAATGCAATCTGCGTGGGCAGGAATACTTTGTCAGATTTCCACAGGGACTCAGGGAACCAAACAGGTTCGCTGAACCACACTTTCACGCTTGGCACCTTCACTGGCGGCCAGCTCTGGCTCGAAGATGCGTCGGGCACTTCTCAGGCCACTGTCGCAGGCGACAGTCACATCAGGGGTAAAATCGTAGACACGTTTTGTTGCCCCACTAGTTTCCCG